TGTAAGATCGCTTCACCTGTAAGCTTTCTCAATGGAGACCAGCTGTTCCGCCATTTCTTGACACACTTCCTCTCGTATCTTCATTTCTAATGTCTGCATCTTCCGTTTCTCTTCGATCAGTTTTTCTTGGAGAACCTTGACCAGGTCCATTAGTTGCTGTGAGTATTGAAAAATAAAGAAAGTTAAATACGGACAATGGCGCAACGCACAGTGGGGGATGTGTTGAAATGGTGGCGAAGAAAATTGCTTACAGTATAAATCGTGAAATATTTTGTGTCTCCAAGCTTCTAATTTGGCGCCAGAAATGGGTCGCCCAAGTGTTAGAAGAGGCCATAGCAACTTTAGTATTGTCTTTACTTTTGTTAGCTACGAAACAAAAGACTTAATGAGTCGCTTTGGTGGGACAGCTCGGTTTTGACAGCCGCTCGTACTGCGGACGCAGCCACCGTATGCAAGGTGAGCCAATCAGATGAAAGACCCCACCCCTCTCCACAGACAAGGGTGCTCAAGTTTTTTCACTCACCTGCTGATAAGCACCAAGCTCCGCCGTCGTGGCTTCGTTTTCTTCATCCTCTTCATCCACCTCCGGTATTGGAGCGTCATCCGGAGGGGCTGGTGTGGTGAGCGCTCCATTGGCCCATGGCACAGAGGGTCTTGCTGGTTTGGAGCGCGGTGTAGGGGCTGAATCGCGCGCCTTCTTTGATGGTGGAGGTAAATCCACTGGCTTTGTTACCCTGGTAGTTACCTGAAAATAACAGAAATTAAAGGAAGGGTGAAAGATATATCCAGGTTTTCGCTTGAGGTATCCACGCTAAAATTCGAACGAAGTACATTGTAAAGCCCCGAATTTCTCACCTTTTTAGCGATAGCTGAAAACTTCATCACGTGGAAGGTCTCGTCAAACATGGAAGCACACATATTGACGTTAACTATCATGGATGCGCGGCCTTTACCACAGAAAAATCCCTGGAATAAGCGCGTCAACTTACTCTCACGGAATGGAATGATGAGAGGTTGGCTCCTACAGGAAGAAAAGCTTGGTTAGGATAAGCTAACTTTTAAACAACTGCAAAAATTGGAAAAAAAATTATGTGGTGCGTGCTTTTTCCGCGCATCTCATCTCAATTCGTTTTTCTTTTCTCAGCTATACTCACTGATAACATATTTGTACTCAATTTTTTTTGGTCTTCATTTGGAGTGGCTAGACTATATGTGTTACTTGACTTGCATTTTTGAGAGAAGATAAAAACGTACTTTATTACAGTGATCCGCTTTCTGATAATGAAACAATCTTCTTTAATCAGACAACATTTTGTCGCAACTTGCTAAAAAAGACCAGGTACAGTATCACATTCAATAAATTTCAAACTCCACAAAATTTTCATGCTCCTAAGAACATCGAAATAAAATGCTAGCTATTTAGCTGCAGCAATTTTTCTTTCAATGAAAGGAACCTTAATAAAAGGAAACGTAAGAGAAATCAACGAAATATGTTTAAGCGTTACCAAAGTTTCGGTTGAGCATTTACTTACATGAAAGACTTATTAAATTTTTAATCTAAAGTTTTTCTGCCAATCTTTTGGCTATGAATATCAAGTTACCTTTCACACTAGATACAGCAACTCTCCTGTGTTGCACTGATTTTAATAGTAAAACATCACTTACGGGTTTCTCTGATTATAACGTAGATATTCAAGGCATTTTCCCAGAGTCATCAGCGATGTATTAATGTTACCAGCTTCTTTGAGTCTGTCCCCTTTGCTCTGTGTTTTAGAATAACGTTCAGAACCCGCCAGATCCACAAAGGATAGTCTGCAACACAACCAAGACACGTGTTTCTCTAAGTGTTCTGTAAGTTATGAAAGCGGTAGCTCATTATTCAGTACTCTCTGGGACACATTTCCCTAGACTGCTGGCAGCTAGTCTTTTCTTTTAGGGTTGGAGGAGTGTTTATCGGTGAACGCAAATGCAAAGGGGTGCCACGCCCACCTCTTGTCCCAGTCCTTTCAAGGGGGTATGGTACCCTAAAATATGGCGATGTTCATGAAAAATTCAATTTCTTGGAAATATAAGACTTAAGACCCTTGAGGACTTGTCAAAAACATTTTGAAAAGATCTTGCCGAATTTCCTTCCAGATGAGTGTGAAATTTAAGGAAAGTACACAGTGGTATATTTTTTTTTACGTGGCAACGGCCATAGCAACGACTGTTTACTATAAGAACGTGACCAAAAATATAGATTATTTTTAACTTATATGAACGAAACTATTTAGAAAA